TATATATTCTTAATAATGTCCTTTGATGCAAAACATTTTTAATTTTGATGAAATTCATTTTACCTTCTTTTTTGTTGCTGTTACTGATTGTGCTTTGGATGTTCCATCTAATAATCCATTGCCAAACCAAAGATCATGAAAACATACTCCTATGTTTTGGAGTGTTTTGGGGTCAGCTCCATGCCTGGGGATCGAATTCGAACTGTGGTGGTTGTCTGATAGCTTCATAGTACTGAGATTTAACCTCTTGTGCATTATGGAGGCCCCCCCACATTAAGGTTTTTTTTTTTTTAATTCACTTTGGGGTGCTTTATATTTGGAATGAGATAGAAGTCCAACTTTATTATTTTGTATATGGAAATTCAGTCCAGTGCACGAGTATCATTTTTTGAAGGGAGTCTTCTTTTGTAATTGAATGGCCTTATTTTTAACATCCTTGGTATTTATTTTTGAGTCTAGAGGTTTTTTCCTATACTACCTCTAGGATATCTGAAGTAGGATATTAGTAGCCAGCTGCTATGTTCCAAATTTATAGTAATTTTCTTTATGACTAGGGTTGTGAATATGAGTTTATTTATTTCCCCCTCAGCCAGAGAAGACTGACTGTTGCCAGCATACAGGGCAGGGCAAGACTTCTCGCTATCTTTTTGCTACACCAGCATCCTGATTTCAGCCAACAAAGCTTGTTTGTCTGATTACTAATTTAGTACTGTCTCCTCTACTTCTTCAAACTACAAATAGCAAAGCTCCCCATACCACTTCATGTCCCCTAATTTTTGCAAATATGGCTTAAGTCTTATGCTTCAGGAAGTGTGCTTAAAGAATTGTACACTCCTCTACCCTTCACACACTTCACTGCCTTTTTTTTTTACCATCTTTCTACAATTTAGTTGTTTTTCCATTTGACCTATTGTTCACTTTTCTTTCATGTTTGCTAGTCTTATTTGGAGATCATGTTTGCACTTGAATTTCTTATTCTTTTTGTTGCTTTTGGATTAATTGTGAAAGGAGATTTTGACCCTGCTTTGTCATCTAAGACCAGAAGTACTTTAAATGTATTTTTTGTAGTGCTGTGCATGTCCATTTATCTAAATATTTAAGCTGGATTAAATTTCATAATTATAAACTGTGGAATGTGATCTTTCCACTATTTAATAATTATTTTTCTGGTAAGTATTTGTGCCAGCTCTGTTTAAGCACAAATAGTACTTAGGTACAAAAGAGTACTGTTTAAGTACATATCAAATCCTTATAGCAACCCTATGAGGAAAGTGTTCTTTTTATTACCATTTAATTGATAGGAAACCAAGGCATAGTCAGAAATATTAACTTGCCCAAGAACTCTTTTCTCCTGCTATATCAGTCTGGCCTTTGATAGTCATTAAGTATTTATTATCAGTACATATAGAGCTATCACATTCTTTCAGTGGCCATATAAGAGCCTTTTAAATGAATGTAATATGGATTTACTTTAAAAATGAGTTTGTTTTAACTATTAAAAATTTAAAATATGCATGCAGTAGAAATGTTAAAGTAGTGTGGCCATTATGGAAAATGTTTGATAGTTAAAAAAGTTAAAAATAGAATAAATAAAAATTAGCAAATGACCTATCAGTTCTACTCCTAAGTTTGCATCTAAGAGAAATTATAACATATTTCTACATAGAAACTTCTAAACAAGTATTTATAACAATATTTTTCACAATAATGAAGATGTCAAAACAACCCAAATGTCTTATCAGTGAATGAATGGATAAGAAAATTATGCTGCATAATGACATTTTGGCCAGTGGCGGTCTGCTTGTGTGGCAGTGGTCCGCAGATCCCTATTGCTTTGTTATGTGTTCATGTAGACTACCAGTGAGTACTACAGGAGTAGTAAAAAGTCATACCCTCTTGAATTGCTATGACAGTAGAATGGATTACTGTTTTTGGAAAATAACACGTACCATTATGGTGTTTACAAAATGCCAAATCATCTTCCAGAATGATTAAAAACTTTTGGAAGTAGGGGAGTTTGATCCCTGCTAGGAAGCTTACCCACAAATGGCATAGCAGACCTCTTTTGTCTCAACTACTACTCCTGGTATTTTAGTAGATCTGCCTGTTTTGCTCCACACTCTGTATTTGGTGAATCCTCTCACCGCCCCCAACACTACTGACCTACACCCCAGCTTTTCTATGCATAAATAAATAAAAATAAATTTAATAAACCAAAACAGTGACACACATTATTAAAAAATAAATTTTGGAAGAAGGAAGACAACATTGCAAATGCCCTAATTGCTGTTGAACCTTACACTTTAAAATTAGATTAGTCATGTATCATGTAAATTTCATCTTAGTTAAACAAAAAGCATGTTATAAACTCAAGTAATATAAACAAGATGGATGGAGTAAAAGGTCTTCTACCACTACCACCAGATCCTTTCTTCATATGTAGCTAATGCTGACAGCTTCATGTTAAATATTTCAGAAAATTCTTCCACAGTAATTTCTTGGGACACCACAGTGGACAGTTTTACACAGAACAGTATTTTCATTAGAGGAACTATTGTAATTGAGAAATTTATAATTACCATAATCTAACATATACATGTAAATACTTTTATTATTGGAAAAGACAGTATACTATATACATTATTCTGTAACTATTAATTTAACATTGTATCTTCTGTAAAGCTGTCCCAGTTTATTAAAGAATCCATATTTCCCCCTCTGAATCAAAATATCTTTCAGTTACTAACTGCATAGTGTCTTGGGTAGATTTCTGGCCTGTGTGCAATTATCTGTCTACTCATGTTCCATTACTAAACTATTTAAATTACTTTAAATAAAATTAATTTTTAATATCTGGTGAGGGTAGGTGTTTTTAAATATTACTCTTTCCCCCAGAGTTTTTACAACTATTCTTAAAAATGTTGACCGGTTCTTAAATTTTTCCCACAGGAACTTTGTAATCAACTTATGAGTTAGAAGAACCACACTTTTAGAACAGACAAATTTATCTCAACTCCTTAAACCTTGGTAATCACTAGTCTACTTTCTGTCTGTATAGACCTGCTTATTCTAGATATTTTGTGTAAATGGTATTACATAATAGGTGGTGTTTTATATCTAACTTCTTTTACCTAACATAGTGTTTCACTTAACATATTGTGGCGTTTATCAGTATTTAATTTTTATGGTTGAATAATATTACTCTGTATGAATATATCAAATTTTGTTTTATCAGTTGATGGGTATTGTTACTTTCTGATTACTATGAATAATGATGCTTACAAACATTCATTTACAGTTTTCAATGTACATATATGTCTTAAATTGTTTTGGGTACATAATCCAGGAATAGAACTGCTGGGTCATATGGTAACTATGTTTAACCTTATGAGGAACTTCCAGACTGGTTTTCCAAAGCAGTCTGTTCCATTTGCATCCCCATCAGCACTATACGAAAAGTTCTAATTTCTTTGCATTATTGCCAACACTTGTTCTTGTCCGTCTTTTCAAATATAGTAACCATCATATATATATATATATATTTTTTTTTAAGGATTTATGTATTTATGCATACAGAATTGGGATACAGGCTAGAGGTGTGGTGGGTGAGAGGATTCACCAGAGACAGAGTGGGGAGCAGAACGGCTAGATTGACAAAGTACACTGCTGAGGGAAGCAGTGGGTGGGTCAGGAGAGGTCTGCCACGCCATGTGGGTCAGCTGCCTGTCTGGGGATGGAACTCGTGCTGCAGTGGCTTCGGAGAGCTTCATGATGCAGTGCTTTAACCCGTTGCGCCACCAGCAAACGCTCATAACCATTATATTTTTAAAGAGATTTTAATGGAAACTGGTGTTGAATTTTAATAAATGCCCTTGTCTTATATGGAGATTATCAAAAGATTTTTTTACTTTGTTCTCTTGATATTTAATAATAATCAAATTTGATAATACAGATGATATTGATTTTGAGTAATTGTTACCTTGAATTTGTTTCCTGCTTCTTAACAAAAAATTATTTAATGACCATGTAATTTTAACAAAAACTAAATTCCACGGACAAATTTAAAATTAGTTGATATGATGTTCAAAATAAAAGATTTAGTTTCTATTTTCTTGCAAATGTGACTTCAACATCCTTATTTTAAGAGTTACAGCTAAGATTAGAAGTAATAGTTAAATACTTTAAATATTTTTTATCTTTTGTAAAATATTAAAAATGCCACCTCCTTCAAAATGTAGGTAAGTTTTCAGATTTTTTAAATAGTGAAATTTCCAACAAGTTTATTGTAATTAGTCTTTTTCACTTGGGTATTAATAATGAGTAGGGATACATATTTGGTAGAACTAATGATAATTCTAAACCCATTATGAATCTCAGTATCATAAATGTTGAAATGTGAAAAGAATTTACCTTAGAATCTATGAAATGTAATACATATATGGAAAGTGTGCTTACATCTAACTTTTGTAAAACAATGGGAAGAAGAAAATTATTTGAAATTTTTTATTCCATGTTTGAGAAACTCATCAAAATTTGTTTTTTAACCATGTTTTTTATATTTCACTCTACGGTAGTTATTAAGATCAGTCAGCATTGTCAGTGATTACTGTGTGCTAGCCAATCTAGTAGCAATAGCTAGCAATTACAGTTTTTATTGTGTGCTAAGGCTTACTTTGAGCACTTTACATATTTCAGTTAACTAAATTTCACTCTATCCCTATGAAGGGAATTCTGGTACTATAGCCATTTTCTCAAAGAGGAAATTGAGGCACAAAAGGTCAAGTGATTTGATCAAGATCATATAGCTAATTAAGTGTGGAGCTAAAGTTTGAATGTAGATTTTTTTGACTTTAGAGTCTTTGATGTCAGGAACAAAGATGAGTGAGATTTTAACCCTTCCCTCAGCACTGCCTCCCAAATAGTATTTGAAAGGTGTGTTGATAAATATACATGAAATTATTGTTATGCTTTTGGTAATGAATTTTCATTTGTGTTTTTAGGACATTCAGTCAGAAGAAGGCTGCTATTGAGAGAGAATATGCACAGGTAAGTTCTGAAATAGAAGTCTCTATCCTAGGTCTACCTCTCTGTTGACTCAGGGCAATAGGGTTGTTGCAAAGAAGCTTTGGTAGTCCTTTACCCGCCTTTTCTTCTTTCTAGCTATCTCATGTTGATCCTCCTTTTGCTTCTGTGGGTCTTCAGGTGAGCTAAATTGCTCCTTACTACAAAGAAGGGTGTGAAACTTATGGGAGAACACTGTATTTATAACATTTGTAAAGTGTAGGTAATATTGGATACATTTTACAAATATATATATTTTCCCTTATGTGCCCCCCTTCTCTGCTGTTTTATGAAAGGCTGATTTTTGTTGTTGTTGTTCAGTCAGGCACTTATTCCTCATTAGGACCCTGCTGATAAAGAATGGTGTACTTTCTTTTTTTTCTGTTTTAAGCTGAGTAGTACTCTGTTGAGCACATATACTACTACTTTTTATTCAGTCATTCTTTGATGGGCATTTAGGTAGATTCCATTTATGGCTAATGTGTTTCTTTTAACATAGGGGTTCTTGTATCTTTTTTTTTTTTAAAGATTTATTTATTTGTGCATACAGAACTGGGTTACAGGCCAGAGGTTCAGGGGTGGTGAGAGGCTTCACCAGAAACAGAGTGGGAAGCAGAACAGGCAGATCTACGAAGTACACTGCTGAGGGGAGCAGTGGGCGGGTCAGGAGAGGTCTGCCTCGCCATGTGGATCCCATGTGGATCTCCTCGGGGGCAGGCGGGAATTGAACTCATAGGGAAGTGGCTTTAGATTCTCAGTGCTGTGCTTTAACCCACTGCACCACCAGGGAGGGCTGGGTTCCTGTATCTTTTTAAGTTAGTGATTTATTTTTTATTATTTAAATTTTATACATTATTTTTCATTTTTGTACAATGTATGCTTTCTCTCTGAGGTGTATTCCCATGAACTCCCACCACCAATATCCCTTGTGCTCTTCCCACCTCTGTTTTGATCCTCCTTCCTTCTCCTCCCCCCAACAGAATGTCTCTGGATTTATAGTTGCCTGTTGATTTTCATTTTTAATTTATTATAATTACTTTATTTTCCCTATCCCTTAATTTGCTCCTCTGCATCCCTCCTATAAGTGAAATCGCTAGATTTTTTTTTTCTTTCTGGCTTATTTCACTGAGCATAATTCCTTCCAGATCCATCCATGTTGCTCTGAATGGCATGAGTTTCTCTTTTTTTGATTGCTAGTAATAGTCCATTATACATATATAATGGATTATTATATACTATATATATATAATATACATCACATCTTCTTGATCTAGTTATCTATTTTTTTGGGCATCTGGGTTGCTTCCCTAGCTTACTTATTATAAACATTGTTGCAGTACACAAGGGGTACAGGTCTTTTGAATTAATGTTGGAGTGGGGAGCAGAACAGGCAAATTTACTGAAATACACTGCTAAAGGAACAGGAGAGGTCTGCTGGGCCGTGTGGGTCACCTCCCTGACCAGGGATCAAACTCTTGCTCCAGTAGCTGTAGATTGACTCATAGTGCTGCAACTTAACCCCTTGTGCTACCAGCGAGGACCTGTTGCTAGTTATTTTTAAATATGTGCTAGAAAATAGTGTACTTTCAATTGATGGTAGAGAGGTATTTTTATGGCAACTTAAGCATTTCCTTCAGATAGTTGTAAGAATAAATAGCTACTCTTCCTTTTATAAAAATATTTTAACATATTTGAAAATTTTTCCTTGTAAGCAATTACTTTCTGTATGGAGTAGAATTCTTAAATTGATACCTCCTCCAAAAATTATGAAAGTAGTATTTCATAATGATCAGGGGGGTAAAGTCTCAGGGCTATCCCCACTTAGGCCTGAGTTTGATCCCCAGCCAGGGAGCTAATCCACACATGGTACAGTGTATTTCAGTAAGTCCACCTTACTAGTGTATTTCAGTAAGTCCACCTGTTCTGCTCCCCACTCTCTCTTTCAATCCTCTTACCTCTTATTCCCCAGTTTTATACACAGTTCTATACCCCAGTTCTTTTACACAAAAATAAATAAATTAAAAAATAAAGGAGAGCATTAGAAGAAAAATGCCTATGGTTGTTATAACCATAATTGCTGCTGTTGTCATTTATATTATAAATAATGAAAGGGGGCATGATTCTTGTGTGTGTGTGTGTGCCTTGTTAAATTTAGTATAGTTAACCAGCTGTTGTTTGAGCTTCACTTCATTTGTTAGACTTAAAAGGGAATAATCTATTCTGTTAAAGATTGATAGACTCGTTAATTCAGTCATTAATTATCGAGTGCTTGCTTATATATCAGGTGCTTTTTATAGTAAATAGCATCAGTCCTGATTGATAAGTAACACTGAATCCTTGCTCTGTGCTAGGTATTTTGTTGATTATTTTACTTGTGACTTAGTTTAATCCTCTTAAAAATCCTGTGAAATAGGAACCTTTATTAGACCCTTTACAGATAGGTTTCAATATAGCCTCTTACAGATATATTTCCATTGGGATCAAAGTGTATGATCTGCTTTTAAAGTTAATATACAAAGTGATTTTGTATGCTGTATTTTCTGTAACATGATTTAAACATATACTCTTATATAACATGTCACTTATGAAGAGTGACAGGTTCATGATAAAAAAATACAAAGTAATACATTCAGTTGTATGAAAAGCAGCAGTCCTCTGCCCAAATCCAGTCTTCTTTCTCAAAGGAGAAAGTAAAATCAGATTCCTATTTTAGCTCTCCTGGTTATCACTTCCACATTTCTAAATAATAGGTGTGTAAATCAACTGATGTTGCTTTTTCAACTCTAGACATTGTTGCTTGATTAGTTCTTATAATAAATGAGAAATTAGTTTCCTAAGCAATCCCATCAAACCTTGAATTTTCTGTCTCTTTGCAGTCAACTTCGGTTGCCTATGGGAACCATTATATTTATCTGAATTTATCTTTTTTTTAGACATATCATAAAAGTGTACTCTTAAGACTATGTGGTCTTGTCTGGCTTCTTTCACTGAGCAAATGTTTTCAAAGTTCATACATGTTTTATCACATGTCAGTAGTTCATTCCTTCTATTGGTGAGTGGTATTTCATGGTATAGATAAATACTTTATTTTGTTTATTCACTTACTGATGAGTAACTGGATATTTTACAAAATATTTCCATAATAATTGCCTATTATGTCTAATGCTGCTGTAGTCTCTATAGTCTTTATTTGTACATAAGTCTTCATATATCTTGAGTATACACCTAGAAGTGGAAATACAGACTTGTTAAGTTTATATTTAACTGTTGGAGAAATGGCCAAACTGTTTTTGCAAGTTGTCCAATTGTGCTTTAACCACCAGTAGTATATAAAGGTTCTGGATATTCCATGTTGTTGCCAATATTTGCCATTGACTTATGAATAGTGTCACTGTGAACATTCTTGTGTGTGCATCTTTGTTGACTATGAATGTGGTCTATTGGCCTCTGCCATAGAGTATGTGTTTTTTAGCTTTGGAAGATAAATTGCGAAATGATTTTCTAAAGTGATATTTGCTCCCTAACCAGCAGTGAATGAGGGTTTTGCTTGTGGATTTGATTTGCATTTTCCTGATGACTAATGAAGTTGAGGAACTTTTCATATGTTGATTGGGCGTTTAGGTATCTTGTTTAGTGAAGTGCATGTTTAAATCTCTTGGCCTTTTTTTCTTTAATGATTTTTCTGTGAATATGCTGGGTTTGAATCCTTTATCAGATATATGTATTATAAATACCTTTTCAGTCTTATACAGAAATGTTGTTCATGGCCTGCCTCTTTAATTTATTAAGTTTCTTTTGATGAAAACAAGTTCTTATTTTTTTTAAGATTTATTTATTTATACAAGAACTGGGGTACAAGGCCAGAGGTGCGGGCATGAAAAGATTCACCAGACATAGAACAGGGAGCAGAACAGGCACGCGTACTGAAATACATTGTTGATGGGAACAACAGGCAGGTCAGGACCGGTCTGCCACCCCATGTGGGTCACCTCTCTGGCCAGGAATCAATCAAGTTCTTAATTTTAATGAAATTCAATTCATTTTCTTCTGTGTTCACTACTTTTTAATGCCCTATTCAAGAATTTATTAGAACCCTAGTGTTCCAATAAATGAGGAGTACTCATTAAATGTTTCAAGTAATCATCAGGATTTTTGTTGTTTAATCTTTCATATTTAGTTTCATGGTCCAGTTGAAGTAGAGACCTTTGTATATGGTGTAAAATTGGGTCAAGTCATCATTTTCTATGTAATATTTAACTAAGGTAGGACCATATATTAAAAAGTCTGTGCTCCCATCCCCACTCTGTACTGAAGTGCTGTTTTTGTGGTAAATTAGATGACTATATATAAACTTATTTCTAGATTTTTTTTCTGCTAATGTATTTTTTGAAATCTTTTTGCCAACATTATACTGTTTTAATCACTATAAATTTATTATAAATATTGATACCTACTAGTGTACAAGCCTTCGCTGTTCTTAGCCTTTTATATTTTCATATGCATTTTAGAATTAGTTGGTTAATTTCCTCAACATGCTGGCTGAGGTTCTGCTTTGTATTGCTTTGAATCTGTAGGACAATTGGGGAGAACTGATAACCTCAACAATATTGAGTCTTTGAATCATGAACATCTCTATTTAGTACTTTAATTTTTCTTACTTTTCTCAGTATTTAGTTTCCATTGGACACCTGTTTTTTGAGGTTGCAAGTTCTTGTTGCAGACTAGGTTTTCAGTGATTGTTATAGAGCACTTCTTTGAATAAGTTTTTTTTTTGTGCTAGATTCATTGATTCTTAGGTACCATTTTTCTTCTTAGTTTACTAATTTTTTGAAGTGCTTTATACAGAAATTTCCTAAGAAGTTTTTATATTTACATTATTTTACTATTATTAGTAATTTTTGGTAACAGACTCCAGGCACACAGAATACTGTAAATCTTGTTTATATATATTATTTATTTACTTAAGGATTTGCTTATTGCACAGA